ACCCAACTTGGTGTCGTCTGCAAACTTACAGTTCTTTTATTTTTCTCTCCTTTAGAGAAATTTAGTCAGTATTCACACAGCCTAATTTCTGCTGGAATATGTTGAATGTTGTATTTACCAATGACTGAGTCTCAGTAACTTTTTTGCTCTGTTCTAGAGCACAGCAAAAAGTCAGCTTTTCAGATACCAGGCCTTCTGAGTTGCTCTTCAGTTGTCCAGGAGCGGACCATTGTTCCTTTTCAGTACTATCTGGTCCAGCCTCATAACTAGTGATAGCACACCATTTCTTAAGAGCTGGGATAGTGAATTATTTGCTCCCAATTAATCAGGATCTTTGAGAAACATTAAGACAGACATGATTAGGCCTGGAGTGGCAAAATTGTACAGCTTAAGAGTATCATTTGATCTGATTTGTAGTCTGTTTGAACTGAAGTGTTTGCTGGTGAGTTCTCAGTGCTGCCATCTTCTTGGAAGACTGAGTCCTTGATGATGAGAAAAAAACTGTGTTATAAAGAAAACTATTGTTTATTTGGAAATTATGATTGTTGGCTCCAGAAGGGAATTGCCCCATTAATCTTGCAGAAGAATGTTAGGCCCAGTGTATGATTTGGAAATGGGGTATGTGAGGACTTCTGGAGTATAAGAAATGTTATGTTTTCAATACTGATTGAAACCAAATATTACTGTGTAACTTTTTTGGGGGTTTTTTTTTTGGCTTGTAGGTGTAGGCTCTAATGTGCAAAGTGGATGGCCTTAGATAATTCTACTGGTTCTTTTTCAGTTGCTTGAGTGCATTTTACCATAGCATAAACATACTGTAGATAAATTTTGTTTGTGACTAAATTAATGTTTTTTAATCTAATTTTAGAGTCCAAGAATTCTTTGTGCGGAAAGCCAATGCAAAAAAGGGAATGTTTGCCAGTACCCATCTTGTGGTGAGAGAACCAGATGGTTCCAAGTATGAAGCTGCAAAGAAGTGGAATTTGCCGGCAGTCACTGCAGCGTGGCTTTTGCACTCTGCAAGGACAGGAAAGAGAGCAGATGAAAGCAAGTTCTTGGTTGAAAATGCAGAGGCTGAAGGTTGGTTACTAGCAAGTTAGGAAATATGATTGTGTCATTGTGCTGTTCCTTCACAACAAAGAAGTCAGGTATGATGAAGTTGTTAAGAAAAAATAATTTGAAGTATTATAGCTAAAGGATATTTTTCCAAGTATTTTTTCCTTTTTTTTCCGTGCTGTTGAGTTGTGATTATAGAAATGATACTGTGTGTTTGCTGCAAGTCTCTTGGTGTTAGTGAAACCTTGTGTTTATCAGTCAGTTGGGAATCAAGTTCATGTCTCAGCTTTGTCCTTTTTGACTCATATGCTGCGCCGTAGATAGCATGGGAATTGATGATAGATCCCCCTTAGAACTTCATACATGTTAGCCTGCAATGGCATGATTTAGTCCTTCATGCCTACTTCATCTTCTGATGCTTCTGCTCCTTTTCCAGTTTTTTCACACCTTTTATTTGGCAATATTTCTTCCATATTAAGATGCAGACTACAGTGATTTAATACTGAATGTTAGCAGACCTGTTTTACCGGTGCCCTTGTGAATTAATTATATGGGTCACTAAGTCAGAGGACAAAAGGTATGTTGTTGGCATAGGCCCGTCTTGTCTTACATTTTTAAGGAAAAAAAGTGGGGGGGTGGGGGAAATGAGCAGTAAAATGTAAAAGCAAATCTTGTACTAATCTTTTTGAGCTGTAAAGATGATGAGTCATGCTTGTCTAGAAGTGTTTATGATGGATAAGCTTTAAGGGCTTATTCCTCGCTAAATCTTGGTCCTGTTAATCCAAAGGCATAAGGGACTGGAAGTATATACGTAGTGACCTAAAGAGGTGTGATTCAGAGTCATGAATAGGAAAGAAGTTTTACATTGCATGAGCCAGGGAGGAGGAGTTACCTTTAATGTTGAAAGGCAAGGTTTTGTTGTATATTATATCTTTTTCTTGGATTTGTATTTTGGTAGCTGTTGTACAACATACGTTGTACATATGTGTAGAACTGCAAACAACATGAGCAGGCCAGGGGTTGCTCATTCTTTTTCAGACACTTAGGGTCAAGCTCAGTACGAATATAGTTCAAACTAAGTAGCTAACTGGAAGAGACACTTAAGATACTGGCTTTTAAAATACAATCGTCAGTTTAGAGCATTTTTGGGGGAGAGTTATGAATTTTTTCTTTCAGGGAAAGGAAGGTCAGGTGAACTTTGAATTGTTTAAATAAAAGTGTATGTGAGATCTGTGTTCAAAGGAAAAATCAGATTGCTTGCCTATGTTTTCTTTGTTTCTTTTAAAGACACGGAGAGTTCCATTACTCAGCTTAGCAAGGCACCAGCAACTGTTAAATCTCCTGATTCAGAACAACCTACTTACCTCTTTGAAGCTGGGAAAAAAACAGCTGTGACCCCTCTTGATATCAACAGGTTCCAGAGTAAAGCTTTCCAAGCTGTAATCTCTCATCATATTGGGAAGAAGACAACCCCTCTTGCACAAGGGGGACTGCCACAGAAAGAACCATCTTTGCATCTTGATACACCATCAAAATTTCTTTCCAAAGACAAGCTGTTCAAGCCTTCTTTTGATGTAAAGGTGATAATCTTTGACAGTTTTTTAGTTTGTAGAGCCAGTAGGGTTTAAAGATGTGCATAAACTTAAAAGCAGCACAGAAACCTGTGCTTGCCCCTTTTTATGCTGTCAAGATACAGACTTTCCATTTTGAATAAAGCCAGGAAAACTGGCTCTGTTTGTTTATATGTATTTCCAGTTAATGATCTGTGGACTAAATTTATTGACTAGTAGATGCTATAATGTCCTTAACAAAGCTCATGTGTTCTAAACCTCACACAGAACACAGTCTGTGTTCTTTACATCTAAAGACTGAGGAATGTAACAAAAAGGCTTGTAATTGCTCAAGATACTTGGAAGTAAGTGTTTGCTTGTTTTGTGATGAAATGCTACTTTAATGACATGTTTTAATGTAGTAGCTTTATAGCAATTACAAAACTGCTATTGCAAATTGAAAAATGCATTGGGATGTTGGGTTCATTGTCTCATTCTGAAAGCTACAAAAAACTACTAGTCTTAAAACAGAACAAAGAAACCCCTGATACTTTGGGAATATCTGTGCTGGAATAGCTTGGGTGTGCTTTGGAAAGCTCAGGTTTGTTTTTCGTGTTCAAGGCCTTAACTGAAAGATGAATGCATTTAATTCCTGCACAGTTGTTAGGTTTTTTGGGGGGTTGTTTGTTTTGTTGTGGTTTTGGTTTTTTTAACTCTTTCCCCACAGTAGAACAAAACATGAATTACAAAAACAGAAGAATCTAGTGTTCTCTTTAGTTAGTTCTGCTTCATGAAGAGAAAGGTTGCTGGAGACACCTTATAGTGGCCTTCCAGTACCTAAAGAGGCCTATAGGAGAGATGGGGAAGAACTCTTTATCAGGGAGTGTAGTGATAGGACAAGGGGTAATGGTTTTAAACCAAAAGAAGGTAGATTTAGATCAGATATTAGGAGGAGATTCTTCACTATGAGGGTGGTGAGGCACTGGAACAGATTACCCAGAGAAGTTATGGATGCCCCACCCCTGGAAGTGTTCAGGCCCAGGTGGGATGGGGCTTTGAGCAGCCTGGTCTAGTGGAAGGTGTCCCTGCCCATGGCAGAGGGGTTGGAACTAGATGATCTCTAAGGTCCTTTCCAATCCAAACCATTCTGTGATTCAATTAGATTTCAAAAAGCAGAATACCAATTGTTCATAACTCTGAAAACTTTCAAAAGCAATATATTCTAGACCAAAAGTTATCTTTTTTTTTCTTAAAAAGGGCAGTAGGAAATTTGGTGTTTTAAAGGTGCGGATAGAATCTCATACTGTATGCAACTTTTGTTGGGGGAGCTATTAATAAATTAATCAATTTGGATTAGGAATACCTGGGTTTGGCCACTGGCTTTTCCACTGAGGGCAGTTTTCATTGATAGTAGTGAAAAGAGAAATTAGTAATCTATCTTCTTGCTGTTTTGCTTATGCAGACTCTAAGATTGGGGTTGTCTTGTACCACCGCACAAAAGCAGTACTACAGGTGCATTTGCTAGCTGCTACTGTAGTAAACCGGCCTGTTTTAGGAGTGTGAAATCTTACTACAGACTATACTTGTGCAACTTGCACTTCAGTGAGAATTTTGTAATGTGTTCATGAAAGTCAGTCAGTTGCTTCTTTTTTGGTAGGATGCTCTGGCAGCTTTGGAAACTCCAGGAGGTCCTGATCAAAAAAACAGGAAACTGAGCACACCTCTCTCTGAAGTCATCGGCAGAAACTTGAAATTGGCCCTGGCAAATAGCACAAGGCATACAGTAGCTCTTACTGCCAGCCCTCAGTTGACTGCTGCAGAGCCAGAAGTGGTAGGAAATCTTGGGTTTGAGTTTCTGGACCGTAGGCTTAATTAAGAAAATGCTATATCTTTTTGTGGTTTAAGTTACAAAAGAGTTTGTGAATTGTGCTTTGTGATCTATTTGAGTAGAAATACATACGATTATGTCTTCAACGACAGTTAAAGGAAGATAAGATACAAGAGTTTCCTCCTGGAAGGCAAAGAATTTTGAAACCTTTTTCTGCTGTCTGTACTACTATCTTGAATATTAAGCAGTTGTTAAGTAACATGACATGTACATACGTACCAATCTAGACTTTGTAGTATTGAGATGAGAGGATTTCATCACACTTAGGAAATTCACAGGCTCCAGATGAGTAAGATTAAATATCTTGTGTTGGACTAAATTTAGGAGTTCTTTTTTAATGAACGTGTCTTCTTTTCCTATATTCCTCTGTAAGGTGCTGCTCTTCTGCTTACCAGGACGCACAAGATGTGATCAGTTGCTTACCCTGTTATAAAGACACATTATGTTACGATTTCTTGTAGTTATCTTGGCTCTTCAGTGTAATCTACCCTAGTGAGAGAAAACAGAAAAAGATGTACGAGGAAAGGGAGGGAGTATTTATGTATTGCTTGCCATGTTAGTACACTCTTTACTGTAGACGAGGGGCAAGAAAGCTAATGGACTGCAGCAAGGGAAGGCTGTGACTTCTTATTTTGTACTTCCTTATTCTTACTTTTTTTTCAGTCCAGTACAGTGAAATACTTCTGTGTCATCAGGTTTGATAATTCCCTAATTTTAGTGTTCAGAAGTGTTCTGTATTTGATGGAAGGACCAGAACATGTTCCAGGGAAACTGGCTGAGAGTGAATCTTCTGTCTTTGGATTCCTAGTGCATGGAATGATAATAGTGCTGGTTTTTTGACCATGGAGTTTGGAAGCAGCAAAAATAGAGAAAATGTGTTTATCTTAGTTTTGTTGTTATTGCATACTTTACTATATGGTACACTAAATATTAAGTATTTTTGTCCTTGATACAGAAGCCTTCTAAATATGACTCCTGTCTTTTTCCCTGCTGCTTGAACAGGAAGAAGAGCCCAAGCCTCTAGCTGACGTTGTTATATATGTTAGTAAAAAACTTAGTAAGAAGCAAAGTGAACTGAACGCAGTAGCAGCTTCTCTTGGGGCAGACTACAGGTATCAACTGATACAAACAGCTTCAAAGCTTCTGCAGTGATATGACGTCTAATAAATATAAGTTTTCGCATTCTAATATGCGTATCTACATGACCTTTTACTACAGCTAAACATTAGATTTCACCATCTTAAACAATTTCTATTGCAAAATAAGGCCATCGGGTTCTAATGCGAAATAAGGCCGTCTAGCCCCACCACATCCCTGGTCTCTCTGGTCTTGATAAGTCTGTCTCAGAAAGACTGTCTTGAAGTGTTACGAAACTGCGGAATATTTCTTTCTATTCTTTTATTTTTTGAAGAAAACTATGAAACATGTTTAGCTTTTAGGTAGTTTAAAATTTGATTTATACTTTAGATTTTGAATCTGATCTGTATTTATGTGTGTTTCTCCCTGGCTCAAAACTAATTATTTTACAGATTGTAAGCATGGCTAAGTTAGTGTGCTTAGAAAAGCTTAGGAAAAATAGGTTGTCATGAAGAGAAACTACAAACTGACACTTCTGATTTAAGACAGAATTCTGCTCCTACTGAATCTGATTTATATGTTTTGTTATTGACTTCTATAATAAGTGTCATCAAAGTGTGGATGAGGAATTATGTTTGCTTAGTAGCCTAGAAATGCTGAAGATATTTCATTAAATACCGATAAAAACTATTATTTGCTTTGAATGTTAGAAATCCTGCATTTTGTTTATTTTGAGCTTTGAGAATCAGTATTTCACTTGCAGCTCAATATGTCAACAAAAGGAAAAGCTCTGTCATCCTGGATCACACATTCTTTTCAGAAACTGATTTGAAACTTCATTTACTTAAAACAAAAAAACTAAAGCAAAACCCTTCCTCTTCCATATGTTTAACAGATTTAGTTTTATTTACTTCAGGAAGGCTTTCAAAAGACATTGAAATTGTTCTATCCTGAAACTGAATGCTGTCTTTTTTTGATGAAGAAAGTGGGCTTCGTGTTTATTTAGACATGAAAAAATAGGCAAAACAGTATTTTAACATGAACAAGGGATAGGACAATTTCTGAGCTGGATTTCTGATACTTTTTGATAGGAAATGATATCTTCAAGTTATATTTCATTTTCTTTTCTAGATGGTGCTTTGATGAAACGGTAACACACTTCATCTACAAAGGAGGACAAAATGACAACAATAAGGAGTACAAATCCGTTAAAGAACGGGGTATACATATTGTCTCAGAACACTGGCTTTTAGAGGTATGGAGCTTGCATTGTTCCCTTATCAAAAGTGAAGGGAAATAGATACTTAAAACCAGTTAATATGGCAGTTGATTTTTTGTTTGTGTTTATATTGAACATGAGTAGGAACTGATGTTTTGCATCCTGCTTTGTATTTATAAATTGAGTGATCAGTTTTCACTGATGTACTTTTACCTTGTTCGCCATGAGGAGAAAAGAAATTTTCTTCCATTGAACATTTCTGTAACATGTTTCTTCAGAATGAGACACATTTTTTCACTTCTGTAAAGTACTTCTTTCAATGGTTTTTATTATACTACTTCTATGTTTAGATGTGGAATTTCTTTTTTATCTCAATCAGTTTCTCATCTTTCTTACATTAACTGATGTTATTACAGAGTGCCCAAGAATATAAACGACTTCCTGAATCCCTCTTTCCTCACACTTACAATCCCAAAATGAGCCTGGACATTAGTGCAGTGCAAGATGTCAGGCTCTCGTCCTCCAGTAAAATTTCATCAACTGGAAAACCAGCAGAAGAAAATGAGGTATAATGTGTGATATGAATTAATGTTTTACGAATTGATTTGGATTCAGTTAACTTCATTGTTGTATTAACAAAATAATAAATAATGTTGATGCTTATAAATAATGTTGATGCTTATTCAGCGATGACCTGAATCAAGATTAGCTATCAATTAACAATAGCTATCACAGGTGTTCCTTAAGGTTTTTCTGTATTTGTAATATTCCTCTTCCAGGGCAATGAAGGGAAACAGGCATTTCAGGATTAGAAGTGCTTTACAAATTCAAAATGATGTAGGTCCAGTCTTTACCTTCTCTCATAGGTAATGAGGTGAAAGTTGTGAACTTGCCTTAGACATTTAGACTGCAGAATAGGTCTTGTCGTTGATGTTGCTGTTCACTGTTAACTGTCATTGTGGTAGCAGAAAGGTTAGATTACACTAAGGCAGGATTAATAATCTTCAGAATTTACACAAGCGTTGAACATGGGTAAAAAGCAAAAATTTTGGTGTTTGAGAATTCTACTTCTCTTCATTGTTTTTAGATTATTCCAGTGGATGACGATGATGCCGAAGATGATGTAACTACTGACCAAATAAAGGAAACAGTCACTACAGGGGAAGAACAAATTACGAGTGAATCTAAAGGAGGTAAATGTAAACGGCTGTTTTCAAAATAGTTGTGGAACATCAAACTACCGATATAATCCTTTTACAGTTTCAGGTGCTGAATGTTAAGATCTGGAAGCTTTAGGTACCATATTTATATACCAGTCAAGTACTGGTATAGTACTTGACTATAGCTAGCCCTTACTGTTGCTGGATGAGAGGGAAGGGTTTTGCTCTCTATTTTAAAGACTTTGACATAAGAAAATCATGATCATCCATTGCAAATTACTTAATTTCTGTTTCTTTGTTCTTAAAATACTGAAGTTTGTCTTTAACATGACAAATCACTTTTATTTACGTAACATAAAAGGTATACACTAAATGTTACAGGAGAATTGTGGATATAAGTTAGATCATGCAAGCAAATTCAGAAATGAGACAAACGGCGATTTCTGCTTATGTCTAGGAAAAGGTTTCCCCAGATAATTTCCGCCCCGCCG